CCCTACAAGGACCTGTTCTCTGTGCTAATTACATCCTGTTGTGAAATTACTCCACTTATTAGTACTGCCCCTCACACAAAGTGACTTGCACTGACAGTGTATTAAGGTTTAACTGTGCATGTCCAAAGGGAACAATGTCCACTTACACATGGAGAGGGTTTTAAGAGGCTGACAGGAGACACTAAACCAGACACTCACCCTTCAGAGGAAGCTCATGTTTCCTTCAGATGCCTCTCAGGCATTTCTAAACTCTCACTCATGATGGTGACGATAGTCTGACTCTTTTTCTGAACAGTGCCTGACTGTGACTAAGAGGGAGGATATTTCCCTTTTGAGCTTTTACTCTTGCTTATGTCTTGGGCATAATAATTTTGATGAAGAAATGGTTTTAAGAAGAAGAGTGAAGATATGGATCTCTTTTAATATGTATACACCCTCTTCTTGACTCCTCTGCATACCAAATTGTATAGAACAGTAATCTCAGGGTAGGTACTTTAATCTGGCCCAACTTCCAGTAAGAATATTAGATAAGTCAAGATTTTACCACTAAACCAAAGCTCTATGAGCTTTATTGTATTAAGAGGTTTTCAATCAACACATTGCTGGCTATCATTAAAATGAAGAACAGCTGTGATCTCTCACAACAAAGAGGAATAGATCGATATCAGCAACAGTAGTGTCATTTAGGGACTATTCTGACACTAATCTTGACAGTGACTGCTTCTTAAATCCTAGATCAAGTCTCTTATCTTTTCTGTGTTGCTTCTCCCTCTTACGAAGGGCTGCTGATACTTGCAGAACAGAAATATGTTATACTAGTGGGCCATTTGAACATCTAATTTTCTAATGCAGTCAAAACGAACAGTGAAATAAAAGCACCTACTCTGTAAGATAGTAGCCATAGGGGACTGATAGTCCACAGACAAGCTACAGCCCATGATAATTTTCATATACTTCTTGATTTCATTTTATAAGGCCCACAATACATTCTTTTACAATTCTGATTAGATACCACTATGGTAAAATTAATCCAAACTGTTACAAAAACTAATCTAGGCCACAGCAAAACCCTCAACAATGCTGCATTAACGAGACCAATACTGGAAGGCTAACTAGAGTTCTGGAATTATTCTTTAACAAAGAATGATGAAATCACAGAGGCCGTAGAAAAGCATCAGAAATGATTCAGTGGTTTTACAGATCTCAATTTGTTGCTTATCAAAAATTATACCTGAGAAGCCACTTAAATATAATATCCAAGTACTGAAATACAGATGATGTATAAGATATCCATGGGGCCTTTAGCTCAGCAAATAGATATAATAAGAACCTAAAGAACAAGGTTTCAGCCAGACAAATTCCAGATGAAAATAAGGTACACATTTTTAACGAGGGTGATTAACTACAAGAAGAAACCACCAGGGAAAGGTGAAGGCATCCTGCACTTAATGTTCTCGGATCAAGACAGGATGTCCTTCTGAAATAAATGCTTTAAGGAAGTTGTAACTAGATAGGAGTGAAAAATTGCATGTATATATACATCCCTTGCCCTTAAATACTGTGCATCACTAAATATAAGTAGCAGGAGAGACTGCAGAGTCCATGAAAAGCAAGTTGGAATAAATAGCTAAGAATAGGGAGAAGAGGGAGGAGAAGAAAACACAGAGAGAGTGAATCACACAGAATCACAGAATGTTGGGGATTGGAAGGGACCTCAAAAGATCACCTAGTCCAACCCCCCTGCCAGAGCAGGAACCTAAATGAGATCACGCAGGAAGGCGTCCAGGCGGGTCTTGAACATCTCCAGAGAAGGAGACTCCACAATCTCCCTGGGCAGCCTGTCCCAGTGCTCTGTCACCCTCACTGTAAAGAAGTTCCTTCTGAAATTTAAGCGGAACCTCCTGTGTTCCAGCTTACACCCATTGCCCCTTGTCCTATCATTGGGCATCACTGAGAAGAGCCTGGCTCCATCCTCCTGACATTCGCCCTTTACATATTTATAAACATTAATAAGGTCTCCCCTCAGTCTCCTCTTCTCCAAGCTAAAGAGACCCAGCTCCCTCAGCCTTTCCTCATAAGGCACAATATACTGAAGGGCACAATATACTAAAGTTGACAGCACATGCATGAGCAGTAGAAAACGAAAAGGGGAGAGAGGAGCCACAACACTAAACAGACAAAGGGAAATGACCTGGAAAAGAACTAAATATTTTAGACAAGGTTGGAGACAAAAGAGAAACAAACAGAAAAAAAAGAAAAGTAAGACAAAACACACACACACACACACACACACACACATGGATTTTAGATTGGGGAATTAAATGTAATGCATGATACATGTATTTTATGTCAGTTCCCTGGCAGACATTCTCTATTTTCTAAGCATGAGGGAAATAAACCCTGCAGTATCTTCCCACTCCTTTTTATGGGAGGTTTGTGGCTAGACAAAGATCCCATATATTACATAACTCACAGAACACCCACTTGAAGAATTATACTACCACTATTTTTCAAATCACTCTTACAGCAAGAGACTAAGTAATTGCAGGTTATTATGCATTCAGCAAATTCTAATCTAACTGCAGCACTTCTTATGCTTTAGCTGAAACCATTCATAAAATTCTCCAGCCAATGATTCCTTATCTGATAGTTATTTGAATTGTTAACTGAAGAAAAACTGCTAATAAAATACATACAGGACCCAAATCCTTACTGCTGAGCATACTGATCTTCTCAAGTGCAAAACAGATGTAACTCAAATAGAACAGGTTCAAAAGTACAAGAAAGGAAAGAATTTGACTCACAATTTACAACTCATTTGTTGCCACTTACATAGTTACACAGCTGACACAACACAAACTTTACATTTTTTACCTGAAAATTATGTACAGGCCCCTGTTTGCTAAGAACATAACTCACTCAAGGATGAGATAGCATCATGTACCTTGTTCAGCTGATGGGACCAATTGTAAAATTGCCAGTCAGTACAAAGTAAGCTTCAAATTGATTCTTAAATTTCCGCAGTTTACAAATATTTCAGTATTTGTATAAAAGGTTATGTTTCTACAAATATTCCATTTACTCATTAAAGCCAAAATTTGATATCTGGTACAATGATATATGAGACGATCTGTAATTCCAAATGGGAAGGTGTTATTATTTTAGGGAAGTAAACCAAGTAGTTTAGAAACTGCTACATCACCAATGACAGAAAGCTCTCCAGCATGAATTTCTGATTATTACAAGATCAAAAATAATATTTGTTCTTTCCAGAATTTTTAGATAGCACTGTCTTTACTAAGTTGTTGGAAATGCTAAGTAACTTGTTTACTGCGGTTGTTGCTAGACAGCAGTTAAGTCTGCTACTGAAAATTTTATTTATGGACTGGTTTGTACTCTGCATTGTATGCCTATTAGTCTTCTCCAAATAATTTTTGAACCTTTTGACCAGAGTTGACAGAGAGGTTGAGCTTGAAGCTAATAAATTTCTGCAAGTTCCTTGGAAACTGGCAGACACGTAAAGGAGAAAGACACTCTCAGTTCCCTGACTAGGGGAGAGACTGCAGTCTGGTAACAAGAATCTTCTAGCACTGGAGGGACAGAGAATGTAAAGAGAGGAAGAGTAAAAGCGAGACATGCACAGGCTGTATTTGAATCTTCTTTAAGAGTTCTCACCTTTTACCAGGATTACAGTGATGAGATGCATAGAGACAGGAAAGCAAGTTTCAGTAAGTCCACTTGCTATCTAAGGGATAAAGTAGTGGGAAAATATGTTGGTTTTGGCATGTACAGAATTCTTAGCCATGGACTTCAGTTTCTCATCAGAAAGAGTATTTTCACAGTATTTAATTCCATGGAAGCTGACAACCTCAGATAGCACTGCTGTTCTAACTGATGTAGCTGAAGGAGATAGCTGGTTTGTATCTACTAGAATGGTGCGTGTGCCTGGAAGCTTTTTTTCTTCTGCTATGTCAGTTGATCTAGTGAAAGATAAAGTCTGTCATCACAAACCTCACCTACGTTAATTAGAAATCACTAGTGCAGTTCACATAGCACAATTCCATGCAATCCTGTGCCTAAGCAGAACAGTTGCAGCCATCTCTCTGCTCTCCCCCCCTTGATGTGCTCTGCTGTGTCCTGGGTCGTTTGATAGTGAGAAGAGCCCCTGGAACAAGCAGGAAAAATAAGCAATATAAGTCTAAGATGTCAGCTTTAGGATTCTACTTAATATATAGAATTGAACCAAGACCTTTGAATTTAAGGAAGAGACTGGAGGTTGGAAACTAATGCCTGTCTCTTTCAGGTATAGAGCAGTTGCGTCCTGGAGCCGTGTTCAGGGAATTGGAATCCCTATGATCACTGCTATTGAAATTTTCTCCATTTGGCTTCTGTCCTTCATACTGGCTATTCCAGAAGCAATTGGTTTTGCTGTGGTACCTTTCAGATACAAGGATGAAGGTTATGTTACCTGCATGCTCAATCCTACAAATAATTTTATGTTGGTAAGTAAAATCCTTTCTTCTCTTTTTTGAATACACGGTATATAGGTCAGACAATTAAGATACTGGATTATAATACACTTTATTCATCCATTAAAGTGCAAAATGTATTCTAATGCATATTGGTGCAAAGAGGATCCTTTATTTACAGTGACCCGTCTCTACTTTCAGCCAGAGAAACTAAATGGGACTTTACAACATTTTCATTTCTTCACTATTGAGGATTCTTAATACAGAAATTTGCAATTTGGGCCTGCTTAAAGTACAATCAAGAGATGTATGAGGGTAGCCAGAGCCTTGGAAGGTACTGTGTTTCTAGGACACAACACCTTGGAGCTTGTAACTGTCAAAACCCATGTTTTACCATGATTAGTCGTCATTTTGCATGCAGTAGCCAGCTCTTTTGGCTGCTAAAGAAAAGGGTGGGGCCATGATCTAATGTAACTTTTCCTATTCTATATGCACTTACAAAGTCAAACAAAGAATAATCCCTCCATTTACAAGAAATGCTGACAAATACCTCCAATCTAGGTAGCTTGGGCACTGTTAGCTGTCATCTAGATGATACAGCAACTCAAGAGCAAGAGAAGTGCCTGAGACACACAAGGCTTCTTTGGCATATTTCATAGCCCTCATTCTCTGTGCTACTGCAGCTTAACAGTTGCCAATACCCACATTAGCTTGTTCAAAGCAAGTCAGGTGAGCAGTCACTACAGAATTAATAAATCTTTACTGCATAGGGAGATAAGTGATTTTCTGCCTGGCCTTACGCTGAGAAAATGGGAAATTGGTATTTTACTTCTTTCTTCATGGATCCAAAGAAGGGCCAGACACCATTCACCCCATAATAAAAAAAAAAAAAAAAAAAGAGTAATATTCTGTTTTGTCTCCGAGAAAGCACACAGTGCAAGGTCTTATGTCTTAAGAGAAACTCCATATTTTTTTCTGAACTAGAATTTGTCATGATAGAGTACAAGTTTATCTTTTTTAATATATGTCTTTTCTTTTATTGGATCAGAACGTGGCTTGGGCTACAATCGGGAAGGATAGGGCAAAACGGAGCTAGGAAATTTAGAAAATAAAAGCGTGGAAGATTAGTGTTCTTCAGAGGAACATCCCCAACTTTGACAGGGTTACACAGTCTGCAGGGATGGCAGAAAGAGCAAGAGACAATTGCAAGAGAAGACAAAAGGAATTCCCTAATGGAAATAGTTAATGCAGGTGAAGATGGAATTGAATTGCCCAGGACTTACTGTATCTTTGTTTTTAAACTCTACTGACTATATGACTGCAGATACTGTAATTACAAGAATATGATTTATGAAATGCACACTGCAGCAAATTTCCCTTTTGTAATGGCTGTTTTTCTCCACAAATGTGCCTGGACAATCTTCATTTCCTCTCTCCTAAGAAAAAGAATAGATCTCTCCCCTCTTCTCAAAAACACTATAGTTCAGGTCTTCTATAAGCATGCTGACTTTAATGATTATTGTTCTGTTCTTAATGTAATAAATATAATAGCATGTTTTGTTTTATTAGCAGGAATTAGTATCTTTTACTTGCTCAGCATAATTCAAAAGCTCCAAATCTCCCCATGCCAGTTTGATTTTCAAGGAAAAAAAGGATTTACATCCAAACTGAGAGAAAATGCTGGACATGCCAGTCAAAATGGAGCATGTTGTGTTCCAATGAGTCGCAATCAAGTACAAACATGAGATTAAAATGGAAATACTGTTACAACCTGAACTACAGTATCTACTACCAAAACCACTACAATAAACAAATGCTAAATGTTGGGAAGGATTTATTATTAACTTCTGTTTTTAATAGGAGCTTTATTCATGTTTAAAGCTATCCTTGAAAGACTTAAAAGATTCATGCTAGACCATGATTCCCAAGAGACTGAGTGCACTAGGAAACTTGTTAAAAATGCACATTTCCTGTAGCAAACCAGTTCCATGTGGGCTTTCAAGACAAACAAAAGAATGTCTACTTCTCTTAAATCAACCCAACTTTGTGCTTTGATGTCAGCTTTGTGAAACTCGGATTCCAAAATTAATCACTTACAGACACTTTCCTGTAGGTTTTATAACTTCACAAAGCCAGGTCCCCGTACAGAATTGAAGTGTTGGTCAGGGTTGTGACACAGAACTCCAAGTGTGTGTTTCTTGACTGACAGGCAACGCTCACGAAAACTGGAAGACTGATATGACAGAAAGTTTTCCGTGTAACATAGCATGGATTCACACCATGCATTTTGCTGTGCTGCCCAACCAATATGATTCTAGTCTAACTTGGAGGAATTTGCCACGGAAAAAGTTAATTGTCTCCATGTATTTGTAATCCTTTTCTCTGCAGAAGGAGTGATAATTAGATTTCCCCTCAGTACAAACTCTTCAAATATGACGCATTTTGTTTTCTGCTGGCTGAAGCTCTGTTCCCAGTGGGGAAATTCTGCCCTCAAGGAGAGTGCAGCTATGCAGCAGACTGTAGCCCCTCCTCACGCAGGGAGGAGGCTAATAAGGAGGAGGAAACAAGCTGATCAACACTACCCAGAATGTCCTGTGAGGTGGGGTTGTGGCCTAGATTACCAGCAGCATACTCTAAATTAGCAAGCTCTGTAAGTTAGCTCACGGCTAACTGTGTTGGGTTTGGGGGAGAAAAATCAAAAACATTCCCTTTTTCTTAGTAAATCAACTTTCTAGTGTAACTAAAGCAGACTTAAAAATGAACATTATTAAATGCTAATCTATTAATTGCATTCATTTTTTTCATCTTTCAAAGTTTATTACCCATCAGTTTTAAATGTAAACAAGATGTCGAAAGTTTGACTTTCTCAAGCAGGACTCATATAATCATCAGTTACTAGCATTTTGACATTTGGTGTGGGAACTGTGATGTTATGAGAGCACATCTGCTAGGAATAAATAAGCTAGGGGAAAGACTAGGAGAAAGAAGGTTCCCTCTTACACACATCTATCTCAGTGACTAATAACATAGAAACAGGAAGTATTTAAAATGTCATATTTCAGTGCACACTTCTGGGTGAACATAAAAGTTAAAAACCAAGATAGAATATTTTCTCAAGTCTGAAAATATAATCATCTACAGAAAAGAGTAATTTTGAATGTTTTGTCAAATGTAGTATTTCCCCGAATAAACTTAAACCACAGCTTAAATCACAGCTAACAGCTAAAATCACACTGCAAAGTACTGCTACTCCATCAGGTCCCTCAGTGTCCTGTCACAAAGGCAAATGGTATGAATTGCAGGCAAAGGGTTAAAAGTGACTGTACCATCAGAAGCCACCCATCCTAGGCTTTGCATATACCATACAAACACTTATGAAGTGGTTCCTATCTGCCCAGTACATAAGCAAACCAACTGCCAATCTTTTCACTGATAACAAAAGGTGATTAAACTTACAAGACATTTTGAATTTTCCTTTTTTGGAATCAGGACAGAAGCCATAGAGGTAAATGGCATTTCCTGAGACAGGCTTTTAGAAAGACTTGTTACCTCAAACTGACACTGCCTACATTTTGCCATGTCTTTTTCATGAAACTGGAGTCTAGTTTTCATGAATGAGTGTAAATGTTCAGAAAACACAACCAAAAAAAATTAATTCCAAACCAAGACAGACAGCAACAAAGGTACACGCAGGCTTTCCATAAGGTAAAATAAATGTTTACACTGCCACAATTCCCTTTTTGGTGTTGGTCCAAACCAGATCAACAATAAGAAAATTTACATAATTTGTGCTGTTTACTAGCACACCAGTTGTCACACTTTCCAAGACCTTTCTGTGGTACTTTCCATAGAATCATAAGAAAATATCTTTTCTTTTATTTTCTTTACCTTATCTACAGTTTTACAAAGATGCAAAGGATTGGTGGCTGTTTGGTTTCTATTTCTGCATGCCACTGGCGTGCACTGCCATCTTTTATACGCTAATGACTTGTGAAATGTTAAACAGAAGAAACAGCAACTTGAGAATCGCTCTGAGTGAACACCTTAAGCAGGTAAATATTAGGAAAAACAATGTTTGAAAATACTGTTCTTTCTTTGGGACAACTTATAAATGTTTCAAAGGGTACTTGAATATACTAAATTACAGAAATAGAAAGTGAGGATGTAGGATATTTATGATGTTAAGGTATTAATTTAAGCCTGGAACACAAGACTCAATCATAGCATAGGGAGGTATTGAAGACAGCACGCTCAGGAAACTAGCCAGTTTCCATCTTTTCTTAAGTATGTATGACAGTTCTGCTCTCTTGCTTTTTAACCTCAAACCACTCACTATTGGCTAGATGCTTTGAAATTTAACTACAAAGATTTGCCAAAAAAAATGTTTCTTCATATTTGTAAAGATATGACTCCATGGGTCCTCCCTACTTTTGGCACACTTTGATATGCAACTTTAGTTTCATATGAAAAGCAGTTGTAGAATAACGTGGTTTAGAATAGAGTGGATGTTTTTTTCAGGGTTATTGCACTGTTGCAGCACCACTACTGTAGCTGCTTTGAAAAGAGCAACAGGAGAATAGTACAAATAAATGATCATAGAGTAAAGCCACTCACGGAAGCGTCAGATCTCACTTTGCTGTTTTTGCAATAGTCTGATGTTTAATTCCTAACTGAAATTTTAAAAACAATCTGTAGTTTCTCTGCTGTGTTAACATCAGCCCCTCAAATTCCACTCTGTCTTTCAAATTCCGCATTCACAGATGTGAATCCCTAAAGCAGTGATCTCTGCGTTGGAGTAGTTCTTTCAGAGGTTCCTCCTCTGCCGGTTCATTCCAGATCAAAGCAGACCAGAAAATCCCTTGCGCAGATCCTCCACTTTTTCCCCTCACCAGGCCCCAGGGCCTGCAACACAGTCTGTCCTAGGGCCACACACAAGCTGCTCCACCCATTACAACTAGAATGTTGTGTACAGGGTGGGGGAATTCACCCCTCAGCCTTCCCATCCTGATGTGCAGTGCTCAGCAAGCAACTCAGACTGGTTAGTAGAGGATGACTTTATGCCACAGCTGTCTTTTTAACTATCACCTTTTGCCCTTCTTTCTTCCTTTCTTCCCTACAGCCTTGTCCACGTTAATGTCTAGTCAAGACCCTTTTCATATTTTGATAAAAACTGCTATTGTAAGAAAGAAGAAACAATAATAGTCATATTCAAAACCTAACACGACTTACTGTGATCACACATTTGACTTCAACTTTTTTAATAACAAAGCTTTGCAGAGCTTGTTATTGTTACATTACAGTGGCATTTTCAGAAGTGGTATCCTTACCCCTCCATATGTTTCTCTTTATCAAATCCATGCTACCAAGCCCCACTGGTATGCATTGTCAAAATTCCACTGCAACATTTGGAAATCTCTAGAGCCATATCCATTAACTAGAAATTATTTCCTGACTAAATATTATGAGATTAAGTTGTAATGTAGACATTTCTAAAATGCTGTTTGTAGAGAAACTATTTACTTAACAATGTCGAGATGACATAGCAAGGATGACATATAAAAATTAATATACTGTGCAGTATCCCTTTATGTAACATGATGCATACTACATATAAAATAATACACATCCTAACTAGGTGCATGGTTGAATGCAACCTTTATTGCCAATTGATTTAGGTGCCTTGGGTTTACACATTGCCCCACATCAAGGATTAAGGCCAAGTGGTTTATCAAGCAGGTGTGATCCCAGTTTCCCTCACACATTAAAAAGTTTTCTCGCAGATTATGCCTGTTTCTGAAGAAAGAGGCTTATTTGAGGGATTACCAGAAAACTAGTCCAGTGTAGACGAAAAAGAGGGGCTGGGAAAGTAATCAGATTCAGGAAATCCCAGCAGTGGATTTTCCTCAGCTAACATCTACAAAGCCCTGGAAATGGCCTGTGTGCTCCAGCTGCTCCAGTCTCAGTGATGAGTAGCTTCTGTTGAGGATGGCCAGAATCAAGAAGATTACAAGCCCCAGAAAAAAGTTCAGGGACATCAGGTAGTGAGGAAGCTGCGCTTTGAGAATCCTTGCATGCTTTATCTGGATGACTTACTTTGCTGCCAACATCACTACACTACAATCACCTACCGATATGAATTTGGCACTCTGTCATAGTTATCTTTACTTCTTTTTCTAGCGTCGAGAAGTTGCAAAGACAGTTTTCTGTTTAGTAGTGATTTTTGCTCTTTGCTGGTTCCCCCTCCATTTGAGCCGAATTTTGAAGAAAATGGTATACAATGAAAGAGATCCCGGCAGATGCGAACTGCTCAGGTACTTCGTTTTATGTCAATCAGTTGTTTATACTGAAAAAATACAATGCCACACACCTGGAGTTTATGTGAGAAATGTCATTGTGCATGCAACTGGGGTGTTGGAAAAGCAAACACTTTTGTTTTATTACTTTTCAGCTGCATCCATGTTTCAGGAATTTCAGTTTTAATGGGGTAACATAATTTCAATAAATGTTGTCTGTCACCAATGCAATCACCTCTGGCTTTTGTGAACTTCTATGAGATAGGTTATTCTAGACCTGGCATGGTACAAAATTAGATTGAGGGTGTTAGGGAAGAGAGAATTAGTTTGTGTGGCAGAAGAGATTGTAACCACAAAGACCACGGATACTTCCACAGTATATTAAGTGTTTAAATGTTTTGCTTTCTCTTTTGTTGTCTAGTTTCTTGCTGCCTTTGGATTATATCAGCATCAACCTGGCAACCATGAACTCTTGTATAAACCCAATAGCTCTGTATTTTGTGAGCAAGAAATTTAAAAACTGTTTCCAGGTAAGATCTTCTTGATAAGATTTTACGCTTATAATAAAATAGGAACAAAAGATTATAAATTGTCTAATTTGCCAGCTAGCAGCTCACATAGCACACATACCAAACTGAAAGTGGAACTGTCCACTTTATCTGAAATGCTAAGGCAGTAAAGAAGTTTGGCATAGTTCTCATATGTAAACATGTAAACTGAGACAGACTTGCTGTTATTAAGTACTATTTCTCTGCATGTGACATGTACATGAATTAGAATTTGGTTGATAACTTGTTGCCCACTCTAGATGAAGAACATATACATAGGACACCAAGCTGCCTGCAGTTAAACAGGCTTGAATACGAAAGCAGGCACCTGAGTTGACTTTGGCAATTAAATACACATTATGGCTTTTACCTACATTTTTCCAGTTCCTACACATGAAAATGTATTTTAAGGCTAAAATAATTTCCTTGTGACACTGTGCCTGTGCAAATCCCCATTCACCTAATAAAGGCAATACAGGAAGAAAGAAAATGAGAGCATACAGTGGTAAAGAAAGTAATGAAATGGAAGACTAAATAGCTTTATATGCAAAGAAAAACAAAAGATGACAGGTTTGTACCACTAAACTTTCAGTCTGGGAATAGGCAACTCAAACTACTAAAAAAAAAAATGTAATAAATTATTAGAATAGAGAATACTTGTTTGTCTGTAGCCTGCTTAGACTTACAAACTATTTTAAGGGAGTATTTTTTTAAGGGAGTATTTCACATGATAAATAAGAAGTCAACTTTGCTTTTTATGGTTCCCTACTTTATCTGGGAACTATGGAGTGGATAATATGCCTGAAGTTGTCCTCAGGTGAAGGGAGAGGTAACAGTGTGTATGATCAGGCTGCTCTTCGTATCAGTAGTTCATTCTTCCCATTTGTCCTTCCAAATAAAATTATCATCCAATAACTCTAATGAAAGAATTTTCAGCTATTATTTAATCCTTCCCAGCTTCACATTATAGCTTACCTTTTCCCTTCTAGTATCAGGGTTTTTAATTCAGTCAATCTTTCCATTTTGTATTTGAGTTTCTAACCCTACCTCTGTTGCTATTTTACATACCCACCCCTAGACAGAGAGTACATATATCTTAAGTTTGGCTTTCCTTGTCTGCAACACTCCATTCTCATTGAATTCACAGAAGTCATGGATCTACTGCTGTTACTGCCATTGCTCCTCTGAGGCCCTATCCTAAAGATTCCATCTGCATAGAATTAGGCACTAGTTTTTGTGAAGGGAAGGGAGGATAGCTGAAGAATCCTTTCTGTGCCTTTCAAAAGAGACAACTGAACAGGCCAGCCTGTAAAGAACCTGCGAGTATGATCCTGAATGACCCATTCTTAACTGGGAAAAATTATACACCTCCATAAATTCACTGTCCCTTTTCGTAAACAATTTTGTCTTCTTCTAAGATGTAAGAAGAGACCTAAGTCACAGGCTGGGGAATTTTCTTCTTTTCTTTTGCATGCTGAGCAGTATGCTGATCCCTAAGTTCAAAGTGCAGTGATAAAGAGGAAAAACTAATTTGCTGCGTTTGTGATATTTAATCACAAGAATTATTTGCATCCTAGGATAAAAAATTTGATTGAGTGCAGCTATCACTCCCTTCAGCTAGAATTGTCTGTTAATTTCTAAATGAAAATATGGCTAGCAATCTGCATAGATTTGATAGAGTTCTGTTAACCTTTTTATTGTTATTATTTTTTATTTCCAGTCATGTCTTTGCTGTTGCTGCTCCCAGTCTAAGAGTCTAGTGACTTCGATGCCCATGAATGGAACAAGCATTCAGTGGAAAAATCAAGAACTAAACAATCACAATACAGATCGAAGCAGCCATAAAGACAGCATAAACTGAAAATTAAAGACTCTGGTACCACTTCAGAATCAAACAGGAAAAAAAAAGTCACAACAAAGCTATTTCAACAGGAAGCCCAGTGACTGTGCCATACTCGATTCAGACATATGCACCCTGCACCCTCGTACCTAATTCTAGAAGTGACTGAGTAGACTGACTGACTATAACTGTGATGTTCTGTGAACTGAGAGCCATTGAATGGTAATTTTCTCTCTGAAAATGATATTGATGTGATTACGACACCAAAAAACTGACTTGAACTACACAGGTGGTTTGCTTTTCTGAACCAAGCAGGAACTGTCCAGTGTCTGTGACTGATACAATACAATCTTTTTACCTGATTGTCACTTAGAATTAATCACTCTGGAATTTTTCAGAAGAAATCAAAATGGAATCTGTCTGTGACTATACTTTCTCTCTGCCCATTTGCCTTTCAACTTTTATTTGTGTGGTGGATACACTCCATGTACCAGTATGTTTTGCATGTTGTTGATGTTGGTTTTCAGGTTTATGTTGGAAAATGTTTTGGTCCACACCAGTATTTTATTTACTTATGTTACAGTGGGTCAGGACATTAGCTGGGCAGTTCACATTTGTAGCACTTCAGTACTCAAAAATAGGAACAGACCATTTAAAGTAGCATCAACATTTGGCACTTAAGCACAGATTAATACCAAAAAAAGAGGTATTAATAATACAGTACTATACTGTGTTATTTATTCTAATGCTCTGTACAAAATAAATGTAATAAACATAATCTATATCAGCAAAAAGAATTAAAGATGCCTACAGATGGGCACCTTACAATGTGTTTTTAATTAACCTGCCATGTTAATTCTTAAACTTACATGAACCTATTAATCTATTTAGATTATAGCTGCCTTAAATCTAAGTCGAATTGAGGGTCAGTGGAACACAGTGAAACATTACTAAAGCTGTCCAAAGAGTTCTGAGAATATGGTTATTGTCCTAGCAATCATTCACAACACTACTTACACATTGTGAACATGAGGTTGTAGTCACAGTGAATGCAGAACTGTGGAAGTCTGTAACAGTCGGACATGCACAAGGATATTTTGTGCCTTATGCTTACAGAGTTTTTTGTCTTACTCTCACAATGTTCAAAGATTTTAATGGAGTTTGATAGTTTACTAGAATTGTTAACCATACAAATGCTATGAATAATATATAGAAAATATTGCTTGCATACATGTAAACTGGTGATTTACTTATTATTTCCATCCATTATCGTTACATGGCAAGAGATTCCTTGTTTGGCTATAAAAATTTTTAATAGGTAGCCTTTCATTAAATAGTGGAATTAAATAGTGTGGTGTATAATATAATATGCCTCATGCACAAATCTGCTAGGAAATTTATAGCATCTGTTGTGCCAGGCTGAGAAGCAGTAATTAAAAATCCACAAATTTTTAAACATCCGTTGCATTTCAAGTGAAAGATATAACCCTGCATATTTTTATTTACGAGGTCAAAATGCCGGTGCCTACAGTGACTTCTGCTGCACAAGTTTCCCAAATGTTTACATTCACATAAATCTTCTAAAGTATATTAAAACAAAGTTCTTTAAATTAGTATATGTATTTTTGTGTGCTTTTGTCTCTGTGACATATATGCATGTATAAATACATACAAATTTATGTTCATATGTTATAAACCTAAATACAGTCTTCTGACAGTGCTCTGTTGTAGTACCTTAGAGCATGGTATTGAATGAGACTTGGCTGAATTTTATTTAAGGCATTTCAGCCTCAAACTGTATCAAAAATCATAGTAAATGAGTAACAATGCTTTCCTTTGAGAAGGTTGAATTACTGAGTCTCTTTACATCCTGACACCTCCCCCGCTCTGTTGACAGAATGTATTGAGCAGATGATAAAGGTGAACAGAAAACACACGTGAGGAATGGATTTGAGTTGTAAATTGCCCCTTCTTTATTTCAAGGCAGGAAAAAGCTTTGTGTGCATTTCCCTCTTCCGTTATTTATCTGATGGATAGATGAAACAAAAAATTCATATTATACCAGCAAACCAATAATCTGACTGTTCAGAGATAATCTTTTCTACCTGTCTACATATGACAGGGAGCAGTAGAGACAATCCAGGACAGAAACTTTAGGACTCAACTTCTACAAAAAAACTAACTACCTGCAAAAGTTTCAGAGCCTGAAACAGATGATTTTTAGGCTTTACCATCAATGGTACCAACCACAAGTCATGCAAATCTTAACAGTTTTCCTTCCAGCATTAACACTTCAAACATCTACTGCTTTCAAACCAATAGCTGGCACTATTATGTGGCAAAGATACATGCACGTGCACACACAAAGCATACTTCAAGCCAGTTCAGCCTAGATGGAGAAAACACGTTCCTACTATCCAAAGAGCTGACTGACCTTAGTGGCAGTGTTGTCCCCAAAACTGGGTCCATCACCAAGTGTGCAAAGAGACAATCCACACACGAGTGGAGGTATTTCCTTTTATTGCCTACATGCGCATGTGTGGGTGCCTGTCCCAAGACAGCACACCAAGTCTTCATATCCACAGTTATTTATACACAAAACATGAATGTGTTCAGCCTCCTAATACATATACAGTGGTATTTTATTAAATGATAGGTCAAAGTTTCTTTGCCTAGCATGTAAATTAGTATGCATGCTCAGCCTTGTTACTCTGCCTATTTCTTTTGAGTTGGTGGTATGATCTGGGTAGAGGGTCTGTGAGTCAGTGGTCTCACTCTCCCCCTGTGGGAATTGATTTTCTTTTAAGGTCACAGTCTTCTGGCAAGTTGAAGCAGTTCTTCAGGGCTGACTAACTGAGTTAGCAATTTATCAGCTCCACTTCTGCTTTTTGATGGCTACATCCTACTTATCAAAGGTACATTGTTTAAATCATAAATCTTTAACTACCAGCTTTTCTATCTATAGTCCCAGTAAGGATGGGACTATACAATGGATATTTCTAACAACCATATACCTAGTCCATTTAATTTATATTTTACTATATGTTAACTTCCATATATCTAATGGGTTTAATGTCATCCTTTAATATCTCAGCATCAGCAGCATTATAAAATACAAAACTTTTTAATTAAAGGAAAAAAGAGGGTAAAGTATTTAACAGATGTGAGAGGTGGCTTTTAGAATGCTTTAGAATTATTTTTGGAAGCTTACTTAGGGATCAAAGCCTGCAAAAACTAATTGGTGATCCTCATTCCATCTCCTCCAGCCAGTGGAAGGACAGACAGAAGCCAAATAAGAGCAACGAGTGAGGGCTTGGAAGTCTCAGACTCCATTTTGCCACGCATGCTCTTTTATATTTTCACTGGTGGCTGCTGCTCCTGCTCACAAACCAATCGTAAAGACAAAGGGTGTACAATGTGGAAATTACGGTGAGGGAGGAACTGATAATGGTAAACATTTCTCCTAGTATTATATCTACACTCAATTCTGAAAAAGCTACCTTTCCAAAAGAATCAACAAAAGTCTTCCACAATTCTGAAATTCAACCATATTTAATTTTAACCTTTCATTTTTCTGCCAGGTTCTGCAAAAAGGTTCTCTGGCATTTCTCTTTGTGCATCAAAACCAGTGTAGGTCTAGTTGGGATTTTGCTCTGCAGATGCACAGAAGCTGCTCTCTCTTTTACATCAAAACAACTTTCCACAAGTAACCTTCCATCCTCCTATTATTTTATAGAAGTTTTTATGTCTGCTGTTAGCATTCCCCTCAGCTGAACCATGCCTTGAATTTTTCTGCAGTTGACAGAATCTATATTCCACAAGTTTCAGATTTGTTTCTTACACTTTTTGTAATATTTATTCATCATAATAAAAACCCATTTAACTGTCACAATCATCTTTTTTGTGGACTTAACAATTCCCAACTACTTTCAGTCCAGTCAGTGTAGAATTTAATTGATTGTTTTCTTTTATATACAGTCTCACATCCCAACTTCAAACAGTTTGCAGACTTTTCTTTAATTTTAGGATCCAGTTATTCCCCTTGTTTCCAATAAGCATTTATTTCAAATTACCTCACTAAACATTTCCTCTTTGGTGTATTTTATACTTATTTGCTTCAAAGATACAGCATATGTAGGTTTTCACATACATTTATGTTTGTATTTATTTATTTACATATGAAACTGTGCTTCAGATCTGACCTAGCCAGTTCCTGTGCTTTGGGAAAAAGTTCACCCAAAGATAAATGTCACCCGATAGAACTGTTAGCTCGATTCCTTGAACAGAGGCTTATGCAACCCTCACGTCTGAATATGTTTATTTTTGCTTTTAATACAGTCAATTTCAGGTGTTTACCTGTCTGTCCCTCCATCTTTCAAACCGAACTATGAACCCCCTACCCAATTTCAATACATTTTACAGAACAGAGTTGGCATCATTATGAAGTTAGAGCTTCACAGAAACTGCAAGATGGGTGAAAGAACAAGATCCTACTCGTGCTCTACGCAGAAAATTGCTGAAATTGAGTTCATACGTACTCAACAAATTCACATGACAGAGAGATATTATGAACATTACAGATGCAGAAAAAGCTTTGATCAGAGCTTGCAACTTGTAAGACATCTGAGAATCAAACCACAACACAGAAATTCTTGTAAACCAGTATTCATAAGTTCATAAGGAATTACTTGCTTTTTGCTGTTTCTCTCTCATCATTTACATATTTACCACAATCTTGTTACTATATCATTTGATTCTATGAAGCCTTATGGGTTTCGGTTTGTGAGAAGACATGGTACAAATTCAAACTCTGCTGCATTTGTATGAACAGATTTCTGCTCAGCTGTCCCTGAGGCAAAGCACGCATTTTCATTAGAAGCAGCACTCTCGGACTGCATGCTAACGTTGCCTTGCAAAATTTATTCCAGTTGTGCAAAGCTTGGCTCAGTGAAGTACTCCTAATTTACACTCCCCATCCTTTCAAAGACTAAATAAAGGCAATTATCTCCAAAATCAGAATA